CGGGGGCGGGTGCGGCGTGGAGGCGGGCGCGGGGAGTGAAAGTGGGAAAGCGCGGCTGCCGCTTTTAGTGGAGCCCACCCGTCCTTTTTTCTCAAGAATATTGCTCAGTCTCTCCCTCCCCATCTAATTTTAATTGTCTCTTTAGATTACCGAATTAGCTATTTGATTTTTAAAAAAAAATTATTAAAAGCAAAAGCAAAGGCTAGGATATTGGGTTGGCTTTTTATATAGGGTATAGGTGGTATGCGCAAGGATTCAAAGTTGTTGGAGCATGCGTGAATATAAATTTACATTTTATTTAATATTTTCATGGCATGGCATCAAATTTTCGTGAATTTAAATTTACGATTATTTATGTAGCAACGTGGAAGGAGCGAGAATAATTTTAAATAAAATAAAAACATAAGAAAGAGTACGAAGCCGTGAGAGAGGGTGACGTGTCGGGGAGGGACAGACAGTTACGCCGGCGGGTCGGCGTGTTTTTGTTCAAAGCTGTTTCTGCGCGGGACCCACTGGTTTTTGTCCCGCCAACAGAAAGAGAGAGAGACTGGGACGCCTCATGATGCGCCACGTATCGCATCCTGGAGAAGAGAAAGCGAAAAAAAAAAAAAATTGGAAAAAAAAAGAAGAAGCAAGCGTCATGGCATTGAAGAAATGAATATAATAAAGGTGGTATAGGTGTGGGCGGCTGGTGTTGCCTTTTTCTGTATAGTGGACTTTGTTGCCTCCTGAGGTGACACCTTCTTCACCTCTCTCTCTCTCTCTCTCTCTCTCTCTCTCTCTATACGTGGCGTACTTTAGCAGCGCATTTCAGCCGGAGAATTCTAGATCATATGAATAAAGTACGACGTCGTTCCACAAAGGATGAAATTGAATTTATAGGATAAGGATGAGCCGTACGTGAGAAGAAGGGGGGCGTGCACGTGTGAGGTGTCTTGGTACGTGCGCTTTGGAGAATCAACCAGACCGCACTCTTACGTGCTTCTGTTGGGCCCAACCCAACCAAGGTGTGAAAGTGTTGGCTTTCCCCATTTCCCACGAAAATGTGTGCAGTCCATGTATATTTTTTACCTCTAGTAGGTACATCTTGAATCGCACCACGTCATTGTCCTTCCGGTTTTGCTTTTTAACTTTGCCGGATGTCTATTTATTTTTAAAAAATCAATAATTAACGTCAATCGTTCACACGTATATGTTACGTGTGTTTGTTTAAAGAAAAAATAAAATAAAAAAAGTATGATAATGTTGTGAGATTGGAATGAAATCCCTACATTAATATTCTTTAAAGTATCAAAGTATTTGTGATGGTGATTTGGGATGGGTGGGGTTATAAATATATTCTAAGATGAGGTTCTAAGACAATCAGTCAGTGAATGGACTCGTGACACTTAGCTGTTAAAATCCCATATGACCAATTCTTGTCAAAAAAAATTTTAAAAAAAGGAAGAAAGGAAGAACAGAAGAAAAGAATAAAATCCGTTGGAGTGGAGTGGAGAGACAGATTTGACCTCAACTAATGAATGAACAGTAGCGAGCAAAAGTTTATTGGTAGTAAGTTGCGTGAGAGGAGCGCATCGTCGACTCGACTGTAGTCTGTATATGTTTAGCTTTGTGATGAAGTTACTCAGCAGCAGGTCAGCCTGTAGCGTGCGCTTGGAGTATGTTGTTGTTGTTTCGCCAGGGCAATAAATAAAAGATAAATACTTTAGGTATCATCTCATCCACCTCACTGTTCATCATATAAATCATAATTGGAATTGATAAAGTTTCGTTCGAAATGGAATCATTTAATCGTCTATATGTATTAACGAAACGGGTTCATCGTGAGTATCTTAATTGTTTCAAAAAATATCAATTTTGTTTATACCAAAATGAACAGCCAATGAACATCGGACACGTGGACCAAACTAGAGCTATGGGAGCCTTCGGCACCTAGCTTCGGTATCATAACTACCGATTGCTCGATTAGGGCAACCTCACCCCCTGGGACACGTGGCAGCCCCACAATTGATGTCACCTCCTAAGGCCTATAAAAGAGGACAACTGTCCCAGTTTGGAGGTAATAAATCAGAATTTACGGCATAATGCCTAGTGATATGTAGTTCAAATTTATTAACTCCGTACTTACTTAAGCATCGGAGAGTCTTCGGCCGGTACCACACCTGTACCCTAGGTCTTACCGAGCGTTTGTTATCTTGTCGAACGCCCTACCGAGGCCCAGAGCACACCGAAGGCCCAGCATCTCTAAGTTGCGGAGAAAAGTGCTGAACTATTTTTCTGCGTCAACAAATTTGGTGAATGAATATAGTGCAGTTATTATTATTTGTAACTGTGATGTAGATAAGATTACAAATAATGTCGATCATTAAGTTAACATGTGTATCAAAATTCATTAATCGCAAGAGAGTGGAGAAAGCCAAAGGTATTTTGTCTACTAATTTTGACAGATGTGAGCAGCTTGGTTCATACGTAATGTTATTGTCATGAATACAGAACCAACTCCACGAAGAAGAATATCAGATGCCTATCTATGACTTTGTATGAGAGTAGCTTCTTTGTCTAGAAACCACTAAATAAAAAAGAGTGGTTTTGTCATCAAAATTCAAAGTAATATCACCATTTGCCTTTTGGACCGGATGTGAACGAAGACAATAAAATACAGTAAATTTCTACAGGACCCAACATGCCGTCTTGTCTTGTTAACTGATATAAATGTGGTGTGGGTAAGAACGGCATGTCATTCATAATACAACGACACGTCGCCTTCTTGCATGTGCAATGACTGACGAACACAGCCACGTGTTTGAAAACTGAAACAGGAGGAGGAAAGCACAAGATGGATGATGCACCGGGATTTACCGGTTCCGGTAGCAGAGATTGGGTGGGAGAGCAACAGCACACCATGTTTTCCCGTTTTCGGATTTATTGAGTGAAGAGGACTTCAAATTTGGAAATGGTAAATCGGTAAATGAATTTGGGTGAGAGAGCAGAGTGCCAGAGAGACACTGTTGGAGTTCTAGGTTTAGAGTAGGTTAAGATCAAAACTCGAATGGGGAGAATTTTCCTGGTTGAATTAGATGGCAGAGCTTATAGATGCAGATTCTGTGACAGCCCTCTTGCCCTTGCCGATGATATCATCTCTCGGGTACTGTCTCTCTCACTTTATCAATTTTTTTTTTTTATAAATTTTTTTTCCATTTATAAAGATTATGTCGGTGTCATAAGCATAATTACAAGCAGTATATGCTTAATTTGTGATTGAATCAAGGAAAGATTGAAACTTTGTTCCCTTTTGTTACTTGGATTTTTAAATGGGTTAAGAATTGAAACTAGGGATGGGTTTATATTGATCTGAAGGGTTTTAGCAATTGGCTACTTTTTATTCAGTGCATAGTGGTCGGTAAAGGTTGATATCAGCATGAGTGAAGCATTTTAGCATTTTACCCTTTTGTTTGCTGTTATGTTTAGGGGTGTGCTGGAAGGTTTTTCAGGTCACATATGGACTAGATTCTGTGTAGCATTGTTTTTCTGAGTTGGGAATTGGGATTTCATAGAACAGGGGTATTTCTTGGTGAGGAAGCTTTAGGAAGCTGAAAATAGACGGATGTACAAGGACTGGTTTGCTTGTGCACTTTAAATGGTTCTTGTTTGAAATACATGGCAGCATTCAACCAGATTGTAAGGTCTATAAAACGCTAGCTAGGTTCAATGGGATGGTTCCGTTGGGAGGAGATAATCACTTAGTGCTTTGAATACGATTGGAAAATATATACATACATACATAAATTGCACAAATGCCCCAAATATTAATTCTTAGTTTGGATAAAATTCTATGAGGAGTGTTCTCCCTGCTGAAGTGGTTGATAAAAAAATAAACTTTTGGCTGCAGTTGGCTACTGACGCTGCAGCCAAACTTTTATAGTTTATTTCTAAGCCATGTAGCTCAGTCTCAATCTTTTAGAAGTTATTTTTATATGCACTACTCTTTTATATATATAATTTTTTTTTAATCCTTGCTATTTAATTTTATGCTCACCTAGATCTAATCTAATATGCTTTTGTGCTCAACAATTTGACTCTAGTTTGTTGTAATTTGATTAGTCTTTCAGCTGCCGTCGAGGAGGGGCATATCTGTTCAGCACTGTGTAAGTTCTTCCTATTATTATTGCCTTTGCTTTTAGTTGACTTTTTTAATGTCATTTTCTGGCTGACATACGTAGTCGGTATTTATTATTATTTGTTCTTTTGGGGGCCAATAAACAAAGATCGTAGAGCGAATTAGCCATATTGCGTCAGTTTTATGAATGGAACAGTCCCTTCTCTAAACTGTAAATTTACTGATCCTTAAAATTCATCAGCCGCCAGTCTCTCTTTCTAAATGGATGTTTTTCTTCAATGAAACCTGTGTTTTAATTGATAATCACCAAGTCCTAAACTTTGTGGCCAGTACATTTTAAGGATGCCACTGTTGAACACAAACGAGCTATTTTCAACATGCTGGTCACAATGATATGATATTTGATGCAATTGCATTTGTTCTTGTTCAAAGAAATAAGGATGCTATTTTTCCTTTTTCAGACCATGAGAAATGTGAATTGGTTTTTGTTTTGTCCTTTTTCTTCTCATCTGACCTATGAAAATTTTATCCAGGGTGAACATAACGCTTGGTCCCGAGGAAGAGAGGCTGATGCTTTCTGGTTTGCATACTGTAGAAGATATTTTTTGCTGCTGCTGCGGACAGATTCTTGGATGGAAATATGTATGGTTTCTTTATCTCTCTGGTTTAGTTGTTGGGATGGATGGGTAGGTAGGAGCAGGACTAGAGAGTGAAACTAGTAAACAAAAGGAGAAAAACAGACACACATACATAAATGAACGTTTTCTCGCGAACAGAAGAAATTTTTTTGTTTTAAAAATATTGTGGGCTCAAGGAGATAATGTCATCTTTAATGAATTAATATGCTAAACAAATTGATTATACATTATTAAACTTGTGTCTGAGTGTAATTGTTTGTTGAATTATTATTCTTTTAAGATGTAAAGTTGGTCATCTTTAATCAAACCAAACAGCACCAAGGAGAGATGTAACCATCACTAAAAAATGCATACGCCAATGATAAAATGCGGTTCTATCGGACTTTGCACGGCCAGTTTTTTATTTTATGGTAGAGCTTAATTGAATGAAGTGTCTCCTGAAAAATACTCAATTTTCTTAAGGGTATCCTACCTCTTGTAAAAGATGGGCATGCAGCTTATGTGTGGAGAAGGCATATTTATGCGTGTAGTCTTTGATGTCAATTCACAAATGAGTTATACTGATGTTGAATCTTATTAGGTAATTGCACATGACAAAAACCAAATATACAAGGAAGGAAAGTTTGTGCTCGAAAGGTACTCACTCACTAGCTTTACTGTTGTTTGTATTTACTGTTTCAGATTGAACTATAGCGCCTGTGTCTGTAAACAGATGGAGGATAGAAGTGGATGTTGCTGAGGAATTCAATTTAGACGCTCCGCCCGGTTCAAGTGACACAGAAATTCCTTAGGAAGTTATCACTAATCATATAGTTAATAAGATCTGGATGATATACTATACATGTTATCATATATGCAATTTGAACAGCCATTTGTAACTATTATGAGTACGAGGAAGATGCATTTTTCCGTAAGCAAAGCATGTTGGATTAAATTGTTTTTCCTTCTTCTTTGAATTCAGATGTGAGCAGATAAATATGATTGCAGACCTGAAAAGATAGTAATGTTTATGCATGGTGATGGTGGGCTTTAGCCATCATTTGAAGTTGTGCGCCTTTGTCAAGGGTATCATTTTCCTGGGGCCCCCTTTGGTTTCTCCTTTGGAGCCATCTCAGTGACTGTTTAGGTCTAGGAGGTGCTCTGCCGTCCCAAATAATTAAAAATAAATTGCCCTAAGTTAAATATTAAGTGGGGTGCAGTGCATGCATGGCATATGAAACTAAGTATTTATTATTTTTATTATTTTGAAGTTCTTGATGATTTAGATTAATGTAAAAAGAATGTGAGCCAGAAAGCATTTGATTTGGTTCTTTTTGAGTGTTTGTTTGACTGAGTTGAGTTGAGTTGAGTGAGGGGCATACCAGACATAGAGATAAAGTATAGATGGGGCCCACAGAATAAATGGGTGAAAGAGAGAAATAAATATGTCAGGAGGAGGAGGAGGACGACGACGACGGTGGTGGTGTATATATGATATGATATGTGAGATCATCTTTTAACTCTTGTGTTGTTATTAATGGAACCGCACGGCCATGCATGCGCCTCTTCTCTACCCCCACGTGATGCACGAGAGAGATTGAGTCAAAGCCAGCCCAGCCACCACCTCACCGCCTTCTTCCTCCTCCGCCTCCGTTTCCTTCTGTTTTTCTATTTTCATCATTCTCTATTCTATATTTTGAATTTTTCTTTTCCTCCTGAGTTGTCACTCATCAATCCACTATTTATTGTTTTTACACACACAAACAAATGTTAAGAGGAAAGTAGAAAACGACAGGCCAAAGACAAATTATCTTTTTTTTTTTTTTTTTTTTAATAACTTGGGCAACACGGACACCTCACCGCCAGAGAAGAAGACCGTGATGATGGGATTTCATTTGCTTTTTTTATTTTCTCTTTTTTCTTCTTCACGTCCTTGATAACATCATCATTATCATCATGTATGTATGATGACCATCTGTATCCATGCTCGTGTCATGTCATGTCCCCCATTTATCGTATGGCAAACATGCCTCCCCCAAGAATGTAGTACATAGGCCATGCCTCTCTCTATATATAAATTATAATCCTGGAAGAATATTATTATATATACATTAGTTACTTAATATAAAAGACATTAAATATAAACACTAAATACATTATTATATATACATTAGTTTACTTAATACATTAAATATAAACACTAATATTATTTTAGAAAATTAGTTACTTAATTAGAATATAAAAGACAACATTGTTGTTGCTTGACCAAACGAATCTCCGGTAAATATCTTAACCGGTGGCTCCTCTGGTCAAGCGACCAGGAAAAGAGAAGGCGCACCCGCGCCGTCAACGACAAAACACAATTTCATTATTTATTTATTTAATTATTGTAGGGTTTGGGTTTTATTTTAAAATTGTTGTTGTCTACTCTTTTGTTTCAGTTTGTGGGTGTGGTGTGGGGTGCGCTACGTAAACCAAAACAGCAGCGTTGGGGAGAGAGAGACGGCCGTGATGCCTCTGGTGCCGACAGATTCGCTTGGCTATGGGACCGGCCAGCGTGCCTGAGGGTGACACGTAAATTAAGCGGGTCCCACAACGAAGAAATATTTTTCAAAACGAAAATCTCAAAGTATTTTTTATTTTTTTAAAGCAGAGTGGAAGGGAGGTGGGGACCCAAAGGACAGTGGGAGGGTCAAATCGATCAGTCTTTGAATTGACGGCCGGGGTTAGGTTAAGTTTACATACAACAAGTCTGCAGCTGCGACTAGCAGAGCAGAAGCAGCAAGCAAAAGCAAGAGCTGCCTGCAGAAGCAGCAGCGCTGATGCATGCTGATGGTGCTGACGTTGTAATTAGGTGAATCTCTGAGTATGTAAAGTCTAAAGTAAAGACTAAAGAGGTCGTCTCGTCTGCTGCTCACTGCACTGCACCACCTACACGCACCTCTCTCTCTCTCTCTCTGCCTTTGCGTGTCATTGTTCTTCTTTTTCCCTTATTTGTTTCGCTGTCTTATTCTTTGCGTCTATACACATATTCCATATGTATATGAAGATCTTTTATCTACTAGTAATATTGACTAGCCACTTAGAACATGCTCACGTGTGTCTTAATTGATTTTATTTTTAGAATTAAGAAAAAATAATATTGGTAGTTATGTTCTATAAAAATAAGATCTATTATCTAATTTGCTTTTAATTTAAATTTTTTTAATATAAAAAAGTAAATTACCATATTATCCTCATTTAATTACTCATTTCAATTCTTAATATTTGAATTAACCAATAATATTTGTTAGTATTTTAAATGTTTCACTATTTTCTGTCTTTTATTTTATATATATAGATAACCCATATTTTTTATTAAATAAAATCTCATATTCTCTCATAATATTTCTCACATCAACTCAAATTGTGTTAGTTGATCATGCGTATATATACGATTTTTAGTCTTTGATACGTTATGGATTCTAATTTTAATAACAACGATTAGATTGTATTGTACTCGTGATAAGATGATAATAGCGTTCTTATCACGTATCTAAAATTCAAACTTGTACTGTGGATGAGGAATAATATATCCACATCCACTCATTAATGCTATATAGGGCGGGACTAGTCTAGGACAATACTAGTGTATGGAATGAAGTGGTAAATTCAAATTAAATGCAATACCAAATAAAAGGCAAAAGAGTTTTCTTGTGCTACACATGAAAATGACATAACATTTTGAATGGGACCTAAGGAACACAACACACTATGGGCTGGTACCTATAAGCCTACATGATATGATATATGTATATATTTAGCGACCAAAGCCGCCGTCCTAGAAGCCTAAAAGGGACTTTGGAAAAGAAAAGGAAAAAAAAAAAGCAAAGTAAAATATTGACCAAGAGATTTTTCTCATCTACTTTCGTCACTCAAATCCAATCCAAACCACCTTTCTCATTTTCTTTGTGCCCATATTATTTATTGCATTATAAAATTATAAAATTAAGAATGCAATTATAGAATTCGTACGAAAACCAATCGAGGCAGACAGAAAATGGATTGGGTTAGCTTTTAATTAGATTGCAATCTTTTGTTTACTTTTATAATGAAAGCCAGCTGATGTTGCTGCTGCACAAAATACTCAGACCAGCGTTTGAACCACTAATGAAATTACTTGGTGCCCACACGAGGCTCCATCCACACACTTGGATTACTGCTAATTTGTTGGAGGGATTCAATACGTTTTCTCGTCCAATCCAATACAAGTAATTATACTTCTTGTTTATATGATTGATAACTACTAAGATTTTGTATATAATTCCCGATCCTTGTATTATACATGTATGTATGACAACGCCACATATGACCTATTATAAATTTTGGAATACGTTTTATTCGAAGCTTTGAACCTATTATACATATAAACAAAATATTTATGTGCTTAAAATTGTAGACAGTTCATTATCGTCTAAACAAACACCGTGTAATAAAATCCAATAACATGTACAATTGTTGTGTGTTATAACAAAACAAAATTCAAATGAAATAGCCACCACCCATCAAAATCAATAGGTGGTGGGGGTGGCATGTTATAAATGTGTCTTTTCCCGGCTGTTGAAGAATCATCTGAAGAAAAGAACAAAAGGGCAAAGGTTGTCACTCACTAGGCTTGAAATTGATTGCATGATAAATATTTTATTATCAAAATATTCTAACCAAGGTTTTGTATATAGATAAATAAACATGTAGTTTTCAAATATTGGTTGGCTTGAAAGAGAAAGAGGAAAGAGAGAAATGGACAGCAGATTCCCACAGGATGGAAATTAAAAAAAGAAAAAAAGAAAGGGACCCAAAGCCGGCAGCAAGCAAGCAACAACATCAACACACATGAACAACGCGGCCATTTTTTTTTCCTTCCTAATTTGCTTTTCCATAACAAGGAAAAGCTACGTCCCCCACCAAGAAAGCAACTTTTTGCTTATCCGAAAATCCAAATTTTGTAAAACAGACCTACCACCTAAAACAATTCTATTAAAATTAAATTAACAGCTAATTATACGCTTGGTTATTGTTATAAAAAAAAAAAACAGAGAGGTAAGGGTTTAATTCACGAGGTAAGATGAATAATTAAACAATATTAAGCTGGTTTAATTAAGATTAAGGACACTGCATATCTCCATGTCGGAGCAGACATGGACACTCTGAATTGACACGCGCCATGGGCTGCGAGTGGGTCAAGTTCTTCAAATTTATGGGATGCTGAAACTATCGGAAACAGATGATCAAAACACACACCGCACGCACGCTCGCTTGCTTTGCTGCAGAGCTTCCTTCCCCACTTTGAAATGAATGAAAAGCTTCAAACTTTATCGAAATGGAAAGAGTCTCATTGAAAAAAAAAGCACATAAATTTATATACAGAAAGCCTCTCTCTAATATTTTTCCTTTCAATAATAACATTGTTTTCTTTTTCCCTCCCTCAAATTCTCAAACCTTCAAACGTCCGAAAACGGAAGTGAAGATTTTTTTTCTTTAGATAATGGCGAAATACTAAAAACAAAAAGAAAAATATGGAGGGATCATGAGATGAGATGAGATGAGAGGAAAACCCAAAACGACGCCGTCAGATGAGTACTACTTTGTTTTTTTTCACAGCCACAAGGGTGGCGGCTCATTGAGGTCAATAGGCAGGCCACGTCGTACAAGCCCTAAATACGACGCCGTACTCGAACCCTCTGCGACCGTACCGCCAGCGACGCCGCCAACATTTCCCACAACACCAACAGGAGGTTGAGGTTGTTCCCTCTTGCTCACCAACGTCGTCGTATCGGGTGTTGCATCGCCGCAGCTCATGTCGTTCAAGACGCCTGTGTGGAGGAACTCGACCAAGCGGCCGGAGTGAGAGGCCCAGTGGGCGGCGGAGGGGATGTTGAGGTCCAGAGAGAGACCGCCGGGAACCGGGGCCGGGAAGTTGGTCTT